ACTTTAAACCAACTCTATTTAAAGAAGTTACCACAGGAAACAAATGACCAACACAAAAAGCAGAGAAATATACACGAGAACTTGACTTTATTCAAAAATATGTTAATTACTTTGTTTACACCTGTGGCTGTACAGACAGTAATGTTAGAATAATTTATCAAGTTAAACGTTTTTTTAAACAAATAAATCTCTTCAAGTGATATTTCTCAGGCCCTGTTAATCTAGAAAAAAAAAGTTGACCTGTGTGGAAGGGTCACCCGCCTGCGTGAGCTCTCCTGGGCAAGCCAACTTTGATTTCCATTAATAACTTCGCCAAAAGTTTACATTAAGAAACGAAAAGTTGGCTTGGCTCTAAGAGAGACATGACTCGCCTTGGAGGGTTATCCTTTTTTGATTGTAGGGTCAAAATCCGAGCAGGGGTTGCTGGGTTGGAATAATCACTGTCTATTAATCAGTTATGTTCCATTGATGCTGTCTGATAATATTATAACTTAAATAAGAGGAAACACAAAATAACATCGTTTAAAACACTATCAAAGAGAACGATGACTTTATAGTTTTCTGGTTTGGCGCATCATATTCTCCTGTCTACAATGATGGTTCCAACAAAATAAATGGAGTGTTTTTTCTTGGAAATAAAAGTGAAATATAAACTTTCCGTTTTTGATACAATTGTCTTGGTTATGTTTCAGCGATTCTGGTTATTATTACGATAACAAGAAGGACAAGAAGGAGGCAAAGAAGCTTGATTCAGGCTATTACTAGTACGTATGGTAAAATAAAATAAAATTAAAAAAAATAAAATAAAAAATTGACCTCTGTGAAAGGGTAATCCGCCTGCCTGAGCTCTTCTGAGCGAGCCAACTTTCATTTTTATACAAAACTAGCTAAAACTTGGCCAACAGTTTAGATTCAGAAACAGAAAGTAGGCTCGGCTAGAGGAGTGACGTGACTCGCCTTGCCGGGTTACCCTTTTTTGATTGTAGCTTCAAACTCCGACAAGGGGGTTTCTGGGTTGGAATCATTTTTGTTTATTACTAAGTTACGTTTCAGTGATGCTGCCTGATATTATTGTAACTTCAATAAGACGAATCACAAAATAACATTGTTTGAAACACTGTCAACGACAACGAGAACTTTATTTGTTTTTGGGCTGGGCGCATCTGCCGTCTATAATGATGGTTCCAACAAAATATATGGAGTGGTTTTTATTGGTAATAAAAAACGATATATAACTTTCGGTTTATGATACATTGTTTCGGTTATGTTTCAGCGATACTGGTTATTATTATGATGACAAGAAGTATAAAAAGGAGCTTGATTCAGGCTATTACTATTTATTAAAAACTGAATCATTGGATAATGCAATTCTAGCATTTTGATTGGCTTAGCCGTTATGGTATATGAGCTAATATACCATGTTCTCCATATATGGTTGGTGTACGCGTCAGTTTAAAATTGGAAGCTAGCCGAGATTTTTTTTCGCAAAGGATAGAACGGCGCCCGAAGCAAATCGTTTTAATTCATTTCTTAGAATACTAGAAATGCAATTTCAACGAAAGAAAAAAGACAAAAACAAACAAAAAAGCCTCAAGAACTTGTTTGAAAGTTTGTCGAAAAACACATGAAAACACATGGAACTAAAGTACCTTGACCAGCTACGAAAGAAGACAAGTGTTGTTTCTTCATGATCGCGAAGCCATTCGCCGATCGAGTCACTCGCCGATAGATGACTGCAGCTTGTTTATCCGACATGAAGAATATACATCACAAGTAACCAGCTACAAATACAGGCTATGCAGGCATTCACTAGAGCAATCGAGGCCGCAGTATAGCTTCTTTTCTCGTTCAGCAAAACCAGCTTGTGGCTTGAAACAACTTCATAACAAGCGACCGAGGTAATACCGGTAGTTTTTCTCCGTTGTTCTTACTTTTATAACCGCACCGAAAATCCTAATTCATAGTAATTTCGACGGCTGTCACTTAAAAATTCCTTTCCTTCACATTATCTGCCAGGTTTTTTAAGCTGTTCTGCTGTGTAAAATCCTAGAATCACGATGAGTTTTTTAAAAAACTAATGTTCATCGCTACAATGTTTTGATTTTTCATTCATGCAGTCTAGGCGAGTCCGTTCACACGTTGACAGTTTTGATAGACGTGTGACATGTGAATAGCGGAAGTCCCTTGTCTTTTCCGGTTTGTTCTAGTCGGGGCGATTCAACGAGATTTTGTGGGCGTTTTTAATAAAACAATTATTCCACTCGGGCTTGTTGGATATGAAATGATTATAGCCAACTCGGCGCTATGCGCCTCGTTGGCTATCTATCATCTCATATCCAACGCGCCCTCGTGGAATAATTGTTAAATATATATGAAAAAATGTTTGGAGAATGAAAAAATTTAACACTAAACCAACTCTATTAAAGAGTTGTCTATTACTAAGTTATTTTTCAGTAGTGCTAGCTGATATTATTATAACTTTAATACGATTATGACACTG